CGCCGCGGTACCCGCGTCCCTGCAGCCCGCTCCGTGATACCCGCGTCCCTGCAGCCTGCTGCGCGGCACCCGTGTCCCTGCGCCCTGCTGCACGGTGCCATGCCTGCTCCGCGGTGCCTGCATCCCCGCAGCCTGCTCCACGGTGTGTCCCCCTCCCTGTGCCCTGCTCCGTTGTGGCCACGTCCCCATGCCCTGCTCCATTGCGCCCGCATCCCTGTGCCTGTGCTCCGCGATGCCTGCATCCCAGCCTAAGCAGAGAACAGCTGGAGGTGTTTGTAAGGGAAAATCCGTCTCCCTGCTGCTGATGCTGACCCTCACCCTGGGTTTGGCTCTAAGGGTACAGACCAGGTCCAGCACGCAGTTGGGAGCAGCAGTTTCACCTGCAGAACCAGGCCAGGCTGTTTGAAAAAGTGCAGTTGTTGCTTTCTCATGAGGGTAATTGCATCCTCTTGAGGCACTGGATTCTCTTGCACCACTTTGCAGATGGACCCCGATTCCTACTGCTGCCATCAGCTGGAATTTTAGCCTTGGTTTCATGGGCAGAGCTGGACAAAGCACTGCTCACCCACACAGTGAGTTGTATTTTCCCGTTGGTTGCTGCAGCGGGTTAGGCAAGAACAGACTTAGGAGAGTTACAGGAACGTTTCTGGCTGGGGGGAGAGGGACCCCCAGACCCTCAGGAGCACATGGCCAGCCAAGGAGACTTTGCTGTCCCCTGAAACAGCAGGAGCTCAGATGCAGCCACATAGTTTCACTGGCCAGACCGTGGGGCTTCACCTCTTCATTCTAGAGACTAGAAAGGCAGTGACAAAAAACCTTTTTTTTTTTTTCTTAACTTAAGGAGAATCTTTTCATGATTATGTGCTTTAGAAGAGGAGTATTAGAATAGGTAGTGGCAACAGGTTGGAGGATCGTCAGTGGCTTTACAGAGGCTGATTTTCATAAACTCATAAAAAAGACAAGTATAGACTATAATATTTTCCACTTTTGAAACTTCTTCTGGTATGAAGCAACCATAATTTTATGACCCAGAGGGATACTCTGACCATTTGAGGTAGGGCAATGCTGCTCCATTTCAAAGCGAAAAAACAAACTGCCTATATTTTAGGCTTGTGCCCTGCGTTTCTTGCCTTCCTCACAGGGAAAGCTCCCACAGCAGTCACGGGAATCCTGTGGGAGGACGGAGATGGTTGGCAGAGTTCGACTTACAGACTTCTGGAGAAGCACCGCTAGTCTGGGCATCTGTGGTTGTAAGGAACATACGTGTCCCAGTATAGCCCTGGGAAAAGCCGGCTGGCTGAGCAGTGGGGAGTTAGTACGTCTCTGTACGCTAGTGTCCCTGGGATGTCTTCAGAAGGACTGGGGAGAAAGAAGGTTTCTTCACTATTTTTTTAAAACTTTCCTGCAGGTCAACCAAGATTTGATTTCCTGCTGGTGGAGATACCACATATTAATCTTTAGAAGATGAAATTTATCACTATAAAGCTACAAGCCCTCCATTTATCACCAAAATCCTCCTTACATCCTCAAAGCTGGGCTTGTACGGAGGTTAAGATGGGCTTGGGCACCTGCAGTTCCCTGCTGGGCTGCAGCTCCATGGGAATAGCTTGTACCGCTGTAGGAGCAGGGTGGGCATGTTGCCATCCCTCCCTGTCCTGGAGCCAGACCCTCAGCTTCCGCAGTACCGCTGAATTCAGGGACTGAGTGAGGTCCTGATTGCATTTTATGGCGATACAGTCAATTTGCTGTGACAGGAAACCTCCTTGTTGCTCAGCCAGGCAGAGCCGTGTGCCCTGCTTATGGACTGAGATGAATCCCTGGCTGGGTGAGGAGGGGAAGGGGCTGCTCAGCCAGCCGTCCGCCTCGCTCAGCACTATCACTGCACGGAAACATGCACAAGATGTTTGATATTAAGGGGCAGGAAGGCACCAGGCTGCTTTCTCTCTAGATGCGGGTCTGCATCTCTCCGTGCCTCAGTTTCTTCACCTGCACAAAGGAAAAGATGATACTGAATGCCTTGGTGAAGGGCTTTAAGACCTGCAGGGTCTATAGATTTGGGATGATTATGCCAATTATCCCCAACAACTTGGCTCAGAGTTAGGAATTGTCCCAAAGGAGTTTGGGGATGAAACTGCAATCCCCAATCCCACATCACCTGGGGATTTTAGAAAGTTTATCTGCAGCTCACCGCATTTGCAGTTTCAGAGGGATGTTTCATTTTGTGTTGCCTCCCCATAAAGACACTCCTTTCTCAAGGAGTTTAATCAGAAAGACTGATTCTTTCTTTAACTGGCATATATTTAAGGTGGGTTTCTTTATTTCTTCCTCCTTTAACTGCTGCCATCCGGAGGCCAATTGTTTTGTTTAAATTAGATATTGTTTAAATTAGATATTGTTATTGACCTTCTTCAGCTTTGTTTCATATTTGTCCTCTGCTAGAAAATCAAAGCCTCTTTATTCGTGACTCGGTTAGTACTGACTCCACAGACGGTACATATGGCCCTTACAGCACTTTTCTCTGGCAAGAACTTGTATTTTAAAGAAAAGAAGATCAGATTTCAGTGTGTTATGTGGTGGGAAAAGGCAGCTTTACAATGCTGTATGGATTAAGAAATTAGGGGCCATTGTTTTGCCCTCACTGTCTGGAACTGGCAGTGTATTTCATGCGACACAGGTCCCTTCCCTGCCACTCGACAAGCGACTGTCCAGCCCCCGGTGCCACGAGAGCATCTCCTGCATGCCAGGCTAGGCGTGTCCCCAGGGTAAATCACTGCTGCACCAGTGACTTGAGTGGGGCAACGTGGGTTTGCACCCAGAGGAACTCATGCCTTGCGAGGGGTTCACGGGTCCCTCGTGTCCCCTCTTCATCTGTGCTTTGGCTTGTCACACTGCTCTGTTGCCAGCAAGTGTGCTCCTGCCCCAGCCCTGTGTGCTGCCCTTGGAGGGTCTGTGCACACCCAGTGCTGTCCCTCTGACCCTGGGCGCAGGGGCTGGCCCCGTCCCCACGGCTCCATCAGATGTCACTGGCTGGGGACGGGTGCCACATGTTCACACAGCTCTTCTCTTGGTTGCAGGGTTCCCCGCTGAAGGGCGAGACATGCGGTAGAAGCCAGCACTTCCCACCGAAGAGCGAGACTCGGTCGTGCCGCACAGCCCGGGGCGCCGCAGGAGGGACAGGACATGCGCCGCATCGGCTGCCTCCTCTCGGGACTCCTCTTCATCCTCAGTGTGACCAGCACAGACGGCTTTGCCCGGGCAGGGTAAGCCCCCTTTTTGTCTGCATCTCCCAGGTGTGCGCTGCTGCGTGTCACGGAGAGTCGCATCCCCTCCCGGTGATGAAGAGCCCTGTTCAGCCAGCCGGCTGCACGTGCATAGGCAGCTCCCGGGGCTGGCGAGGAGGTGGGAAAAGGCTCAGCCGAGCCCTCCTGAGGCAGCCGGAGCTCGGCAGCCCTTCGCTGATGTTTGTTTGCTTTGTCACTGAAGCAAAAAAGCCTCTCAGAGAAAATGCCCCAGCTCCGTTTAGCTCCCTGCAGTGGACACAAAGACACTCTGGGCTTTTTGTCCAGGAGAGTCAAAAGTTAATCAGGCCCTGAGCTGTTCATGAGTTATTATTGTCTCTTTCAAGCACATCCTCGCACAAAAATATGCGTGCAAGCTTGCTATCACGCCAATCAAGCCTTGCAAATGAGCCATCAAAGGAGGATGCAACCTCCCAGCTCTGACAGGAAGCACTGTCCAGGGGACACAGGCCTGGAAAGCCCTGGTGGGTTGTTGTCTGGCCATGCCCTGTGCTTCCTGGGATGCTGCGGTGGCTGCGGTCAAGGTCCCGCAAGCCTTGGAGTGGCAGCTCCAGCAATTCCCCTTCCCTTTCTGGGAAATGGGCCCGACACGGTGCCCTGGATCCCAGCACGGCCTGGGCAGGCACAGCTCAGCTCCTGCTAGGTCAGAGGAAGCCCAGAGCTCGGTGCCCCAGTTTCTTCCCCAGCCAAAAGGAGCTCAAGCTCAATGCCCACCCCCCAGATACAGCTCACATTTTCTACAAAGATTGTTTTTACATTAAAATACTCTTCTCTAGCGTTAAACCTTTCGCATTCTGGTTGTGACTAAAACCACAGGCTGAATTCCTCGCTTGCACGCACAGGCTGCAGCTATAGCTTTATTCTAAATTTTGCAAAGCAAACAATTGCCATTTAAAAATTGCATCTTCTATAGCATTAATTAAGAGAGGCTGAAAGGAGTTTTCTGGAGTTAATGGAAGCCATCTGATGTCCATGCTAATTCCCAGGCTTTTTATTCTGGTTTCTAACTGGGCTGAGAGGCTGAGAGAAGTAAACGAGTTCCTCAGTGCGACTGACCTGCTTGGGCTGGAAAATGTTGAAAAAAAGAATTTTTAACCAAGACCACTTTGGTTGTTAACGTTGGGGAAGTTTTTGACTGGATCACAGTTATCTTAGGAAGGCTGGAGGGCGACTTTCCTCTGGCCTCCACCTTTTTGTGGTGTGCCTGACCCTTCCTGTGAAATCATTAATTTCTTGGTGACCACAGGGGCATCTGTTTCAGGAGTGCAAAAGTCTCAGAAAGGAAAAATTCACCCAGAAAGTGAGTGATTTTAAGGGAAGGGAGGTGATGAAGGGAAGGAGAACTGCTTTGAGTAAGTCCCCCCTAAATCTGGGCCCCGACTGCTCTCCCGAGACAGAGGGACTGTGCCAGAGTGAGTGTACGAGGAGGCGTCAGCGCCTTCGCGCAGGGGCTGGGGAGGAAGAGCCTGGGCAGCCCACAGTGCTCAAGCTTTGTGTCGCTGCCCCGAAACAGCTTGAAGTAACCTCCCGGGTCGCTCGGGCAATTAGCCACTGCCGTTTAAATAGCCCTCTGTAGAGAGGGACTGTCAGGCCTTGTCCTGGGCTGGTATAAATCAGTGAAGCAGCGGGTTGGTTTTTAGCTGGTGTCTGACCTGCTCCCCTCTCCGCAGCCGCAGAGTCTGTGCTGCGGCGCCGCAGAGCCGGATGGCCGCCTACACCGAGTCCCACGTCCAGCCCGTCTACCAGCCCTACCTCACCACCTGCCAGGGCCACCGCCTCTGCAGCACCTACAGGTGAGGGCAGCTGCCCGCAGCGCGGACCTGGTCCCTGAGACGGATCCGCGAGGTAGCGACCGGTGGGGGCTGCGGAAAGGGGGAATCCTGCCTTCATCTGTGGGGAAGAGGCTCCCAGCCCCTGGGCAGGAGGTGCCAGTGCAGGGGGTCTGACCCACTGGTGTGAGAACAGGATGGGGGGGCTTGGGACAGATGCTCAGTCACCCAGCTCAGCCCCATCCTTGTGTTGCAGGACCATCTACAAGGTCGCGTACCGGCAGGCGTACAGGCAGCTGCCCCAGCCCGTGGCGTCGTGCTGTCCCGGCTGGAGTAGAGCTAACAGCCACGCGCTCAGCTGCAACAGAGGTAAGAGGCTGCTGTGCCACCCCGGTGCCAGCACTCGCCCTTCCCCCAGACCCCATGGGCCGGGTAGCTCAGGTCCCTGGATGAGATCCCGGCAGTCAGGTCTCTCATTTACCAGCACTCTGCCTGTCAGGCAGATTCTCCCTGTAGAAAAGCATTTAAATTTTCGGTGTCACAACCAAATGCGGTTCAATTTCTGATTAATTCCCAGCCTTTCTCTGCTGCCTCGCAGGCCTTTTTCCTTTGGGACTGCTTATTAACTTTATAGTTACCAGAGGATAAATAAAACAAGTCCTTTCCATATAAATCAGCAGTAATGGATGAGAAATGCTTTCAGGAGGCAATCGTGATGTACAGCACAAAACAAATGCAAAACACATCAGCAGCTCGTCCGTCCCCAGATGAGCTCGGGGTGCAGCACCAGGGGCTTCCCAGGGCTGCTGCTGCCCATCAGCCCTCCTCCCTCCTGGCTGTACTGGTCTGAGGGACCTCTTTCCAGGCTGCAAATCCAAGGTCCTGTTCATCCCACCCTGTGCCCTGTGCACCCCGGTCAGCTCAACCCCACCGCTCTAGGGCTGGGGCAGAGCATCCTGGCCCTGGGCTGGTGCTGCTGTGTGTTTTGGGTTGTGTGTGTGCACGGAGTGTGTACACGCATCCATGGTGGCAGGGGAGGGAGCTCGGGACCCCCAGAGCTGCCCGGTGATGCTGTGCTCATGTTTGGTCTCGCAGCTCTCTGCTGGATGCCGTGCCAGAACGGCGGG